CAAGCTGAGAAAGAGTAACGTTCCCCCAAGCCTTCCATCTAGTCTTAGGAGTTTTGACCTTCTCAGGTGATCTGAAGCACTGCTGAAGAACTATTGGACTGAAGACTCTGTAGTGACTGCTCCCCAACTCAAGTCAGCATGCTTTCCTGGCTTGTGTGTCTTTCATGGCCATACTACACTAAGGAACACTGGCCCCTCAGATGATCTGTGCTGTTAGAAATTTTGGATCCTCAAGTGCTTGTGTGCAATGACTCTAAATGGACAGGACTGCTGCCTCTGACAGTACAGATGCCTAAGAGTCTGCCAGGAAGACAAGCGATGGCTGGTTCCACTCTGCTGTCAATGTCCTCACACTGGCACAAGCATATGTCCTGGGAAAATGGCATCCAAATTGTCATTGACTGTGTGGGAGATGACTAATGCTGCCACCTTGGCCATTCAGGGCCCACAGGACCCACTGAGCTCACCAGCTAAGGTGACAATGAGTGGCTAGCTGAGCAACCCCTGACCTTCTGCTGGCAGGACAAGCTGGCATATCATTATTCCCAGCACCTCTGGTGGTAGCTTGAGGATTGTAGAGAAACAGTAGAAGAGATCTGGGAAACAGGCCACCCCATGGTCAGCACACAGTGGGACCGTCTGAGGGACCCTTCTTTGACCACTTTAGCAATTTCTGGAGGCTGGGATGTGGGACCAGGTCACTGCTTCAGCCAGCCTGGCCACATTCTGTGGTAATGGTCCTCCTGCACCCAAGGAAGTGTGCCCTGAACATGACTCTATAGTGCAGCCTGGAGGTTGTGTCAATCAATTGTTCCATGAATCTAAGGGACAGACCTTTGTAGCCACATGCAGGTCAGCAGGCATGTGAAGTCAATAGCCCTGCTAAAGGGGTATCTGAGTCTGAGAGATGGGCTGAAGGACAGGTTGTGCCATGGCCTTGGCTGGCCCAGCACTGCCAGTGAGCCCTGGGGCATAAAACCAAGAGCAAGGTGCTTTTTGGGGTCTCAGCGTCAGTAAGACATGGGGTGTGTACGAGGAGACTCTCCTTCCCACGCAGCTTTCCTGAATCTTGGGGGACAAGCCTGCTATGAACGCCAAGCATCTTTTGTCCCCTGCTGACTCTCTGTGAGCAGCAAAGTAGCTTTTCTTAAACCTGCACGTTGTCTCACTGGGCTCACATGACCGATAGAGGGACAAGGCATGGTGGGCAGCTTTGCAGGTGCATTTACCCCCTCTGCCTAGCTTCCCAGCTGTTCATGGCTGCCTGGTTCAGAAAGCATGCTGGGGACACAGAGAGGGAATGATGCAGCAATGACGAACTCTCCCTTCCTAAAAACTCTAGTCTCTCTTGAAAATCAGTCCTTTGTTCCAGTGATGAGCTTTCAAACCAAAACAAGTTAGGAAGAGGTCTGCCTTCCTGCCTTCTTGCCCTGGTTCCCTCAAGCACACAGGAGATCCAGAGGTTGATGCTCCATTTGCGGAAATCCAGGAGCTGGGAATCCACAACTCCCCTGTTTCCCTGACACTGTCCCCTCCACCCCCTCCTTACCAAGAGGAAGTCCCCTCCCTGATTGAACACTCAGTGAGAGCAGAGGCTGCCTCCCCTCACCTGCCCACACTGTGACCTAGCAGCTAACAAGGGCCAGTAAATGTTTGCTAGTGAAGGAACGTGGGCCCCCTGTGTCCTGACGGCTCAGAGGCTAGAGTGAGCAGAGGCTTCAGCAATGAGCTCCTTCCATATCTCTGGGCCAGAATCTTCTAAAGTGAATTCATTCTTCTCTCTCCTCAAATACCTTGGAGTTCATTTCCCCCTGGAGGTGGCTGCTTCACAGAAGGTGCTTCGGTCAGGGAAGGGCATTCATATTAACTGAGTCTGTCCCCAGAGCCAGGTTCTCGCCTAACATGGAGGGTACAGTCCAGCATGGAGGCCTACCACTCTGCCCTGTCTGGTCACTCTTCCCAGTATGTGCGGTGAGCTCCTCCACACTTCTTGACCGTGACTAAAAGAGTCATTCTGATTGTCTCAACAATGAGTCGAGCTAAAAGCCATTCTTGAAATTGAAGAACACGTAAATTCCTCTGAATGCAGATGGATTAATGTAAGAAAGCAGGTGTCGTGTTTCCCACAGCTGGAGTACAAAAATTCTTTCAAATCTTAGTGCCTTCTTGCATAGATTTGGGAAAGCACCAAGTCATAGGGTTGCAAAGAAATCAGAAGGACCTGCAGTTTCCTCATTTATGAAATCAAGGTTTTGGCCATCCCACAGCACTGCTTTAAGAATCAAATAATTTAATATCCACAAAACATTATTAGTCTTTAGTCTTCATTCCCTATTGATCTCTGGTCTCTCCTGCCTCCCATCTCAAAATTCCTTAATCAATGATTTATCAAGTTATGTGTAGAATCTGAAAGCCTCAAAAAGCTTCTGGCCTCATAGAGTGAGTAGTCTCCACCTTAATAAGAAGAATGATGGCAAACATGAGGTTCAAAGTCAGACTGTCAGGGTCAGAGGCTCACTCCAGATCAAGCATCTCTGCTTCAGTGTCTTCAAGTTTACATGGAAATAAAACAATACCTACTAGTGCTCAATAAATTAACTAAGTCATGTCTGGGTGCACAAAAATCAGTGGTTAGGGTGCCAGCCACATGTGTGGGGGCTGATGGGATAGAACACTACCCAGGCCTGCTAAAAAAACAAAGGAAAAAAAATTAACCAAGTCGGATTTGAAAAGGTGGGTTGGGTAAAGCCACAAAGAGGTGTGGCTAGGGAGGGCTGAGTAGGGCATATGCATGGTGGGCTTCTCAGGGTTGTATTTAAGTAATGCCTCTCAGAGCAGTGCTGTGTTGCTCTGAAAGGCTGAAGTAGAGATTGGAAGTGCCTTCCAGTGGTAAGTAAGCGCATTTCGTGGTGACCAAAATTTCTTTTGTGGGAGTCTATCTGCCTGATCCTGGTGTTTGGAGGGGTTTGAGTGTTCATCTCTCTCTCTTTTTTTCTGAGATAAGGTTTTCTATGCTCCCTAGCTTGGTCTCCCAACTCCTGGACTTTAGTGATCCTCTCCCCTCAGATTTCCCATATAATTGAGATTAAGGGTGTCCCCCATTGTGCTGGCTTTTTGAGCTTTCACTTTTTAAAAGTACAAGCATAAAACAAAAATAATAAAATAAAAGTGCACACTTACTGATGGGGTCAGCTCATGTAACCAAAGAATTATCTATGGATGCTTTACAGTGGAATCTGGGAATAGTAGAGGCTCCGGTGTTTAAATATCAACGTGTAGTTGCATGAAAGGATGTTTCTTATTTAGAGATACATATGGGAGTATTTTCAGGTGAAATATCTGCAATTCATTTTAAAATACTGAAAGTGGGTTGTTGAGGAGTGAAGATTGGCCATGGATTGCTCAGGCGTACCAGTCCGAGGTTGCTGTGAGCTATGATGGTGGAGCTCATAGGGTGCCAGAGTGAGACTGTCTCAAAAAAAAAAAAAAAATTCCTTCCTTTTTTTTTTTTTTTTTTTTTTTTGAGACCGTCTCACTTGTTGCCTCAAGCTAGAGTGCCCTGGTGTCCAAGCTCACATTAACCTGAAACTCCTAGGCTCAAGGGATCCGCTTGCCTCAGCCTCTGAGTGGCTGGAACTCCAGAGATGTGCCACAAAACCTATTGAATCTATTGGGGGTTTTAACTAGAGATGGGGAGTTGCTCTTGCTCAGATTAGTCTCAACTCCTGAACTCAAGCAATCCAGTGGCCTCCCCATACCAGAATGCTAGAAAACTCTTCTTACCAACTTCTTCTGGCCAAGGATAAGATACAAATATATCCTCTAGAGCTCATTATGGTGGTTAAGTAAATGCTCATGTTTCATGGAAGGAAATTGTCCTTTGGGCCATAAGGTAGAATTTAGTGTGCCTGTATTTCTGGGAGATTTGATGTGAGCGGTGGACATTTTTTATTTAAATATAACTCTTAACTCAGGGGAGTAGTGCAGGGGAAGCATGCTGGGCCCATAAATTTGACTCTTAAGACTGTGTGAGATGGTGACTGAATATTTATTTGCTGTATTTTTCTGTGTTTTTCCTTCACTCATGTTGTTTTTTTAGGAGCTATTTTGACCAGGTTATGTATGTCTGGGTGTTTCTCCCTGGTCCTGAGCTAATGTGAACAGAGACCCAGAAGGGCCAGACAATAGCCTGACCAAGCTTCGTTGTGGTCAGCCTCTCTCTCTTAGAACTAGTTAGCTGCCACCTTTGGACTTTGGCCTAGGGGGTTCTGGAATACCCAATAATTAAGAGGATGGCATTCTTACAGTCTATTACAGTGGTTCTCAACCTTTGGGTCCCGACCCCTTTGGGGGTCGAACGATCATTTCACAGGGGTTGCCTAAATACATCCTGCATATAAGATATTTATGTTATGATTCATAGCAGTAGCAAAATTACAGTTATGAAGTAACAATGAAAATAATTTTATGGTTGGTGGGGTCACCACAATATGAGGAACTGTTTTAATTGCTTATAGAATTAAGAAGGTTGAGAACCACTGGTCTATCAGCTTAGGTTTCTCATCCTTTCCTTATAAAGCCTTGAATCCCATCACAGGAGCCCCCAGCATCATGATCTCATCTGACCCTAATTATCACCCAAAGGCCCCATCCCCAAATGTCATCATCATATTAATTTGTGAAATAAGTTTCCAACAGTTGAATTGTAGGAGGACACATTCAAACAAGCAGAAACCACCCAGGTCTGGTGTTCTTACATGAGGCAATTACTTGATAAACTTCTGTTCTATGGAAATCAGTCTTTCTATGCTTTCTATGTCCTGGTTATTTTTTGGTAACTGTATTCACCTAAAAAATAATTTTCCTTTCCTCTAGGATTTTAAATGTGTGGAGATTGCAGAAGAATCTCTCATGGTTTTTAAAATCTTGTCCATCAGAGCACTTGAGGCTGGAGGTTGTAGTGTCTGCAGGTTGGAAGTGAGTTTGGAGCTCCAACCTGGATGATCACGGTTGTTTGCAACGACCATCTGAGGAAGAAGGTGTGTATTAAATTCAACACCAATGACACCAGTGGGGACCTTAAGAAGCTGATTGCAGCCCAAACTGGCACCCAGTGGAACAAGATTGTCCTTAAGAAGTGGAACACGATTGTTAAGGACCACTTGTTTCTAGGGGACTATGAAATCCATGATGGGATGAACTTGGAGCTTTATTACTAACAGAGCAGACTTCCTGCCCCCACTCTAACTTTCTTTTCCTCCCACACTGGTATGGAGGCTTGTTTTTAAAAACTCATATCAGAAAGGAGTCACCAATGGCCAGGAGATAATATGCCCAAGTTTTTTGTTTTTTGTAATTAATGTATCTGTTTCTGTTTCAGCTTCCATTTTCAGCCGAGTGTTTTATTTATTTTTTATATTTTATTTCATTTTATTATTAAATCATAACAGTGTACATTAATACTATCATGGGGTACAGTGTACTGTTTCTCTATACAATTTGAACTAGTTTCATCCAACTGGTTAACATAGCCTTCATGTCTTTTTCTTAGCTATTGTGTTAAGACATTTATATTCTACATTTAGAGAGATTCACATGTACCCTTATAGGATGAACCATAGGAGTGATCCCGCCAATCACCTTTCCTCCAGCCCCCCTCCCCTCCCCTCCCCTCCCTCTCCCCTCGTCCCATGTGCCTGAGCTAAAATTGACATCATCTAACACCAGTAAGATTAGCCCATATCAAAAAATCCCAAAATCACAGATGCTGGCGTGGGTGTGGAAAAAAGGGAACACGTCTACACTGCTGGTGGGAATGCAAACTAATACATTCCTTTTGGAAAGACATCTGGAGAACACTTAAAGAACTAAAAATAGACCTGCCATTTGATCCTATAATTCCTCTATTAGGTATATATCCAGTATATCCAGAAGACCAAAAATCACAGTACAATAAAGATATTTGTATAAGAATGTTCATTGAAGCCCAATTCATAATTAATTGCTAGGTCATGGAAGAAGCCCAAGAGCCCACTGATCCACGAATGGATCAATAAATTGTGGTATATGTACACCGTGGAATACTATGCAGCCATCAAGAAAGATGAAGACTTTTCCTTCTTCATGTTTACATGGATGGAGCTGGAAAATATTCTTCTAAGCAAATTATCCCAAGAATGGAAGAAAAAGTATCCAGTGTACTCAGCCCTACTATGAAACTAATTTGTAGCTTTCATAGGAAAGCAATATGCCCAAGTTTTACTGTGACTATTGTGATACGTACCTCACCCATGACTCTCCATCTGTGAGAAAGACACATTGCAGTGGGAGGAAGCACCTAGAGAATGTGAGGGACTACTGTCAGAAATGGATGGAAGAGCAATCCCAGAGCCTAATTGACAAAACAACAGATGCATTTCAACAAGGAAAACTACGTCCTACTCCATTCTCTGGTCCTCCTTTTGCAGGGGCGATGATTCCACCTCCCGGCTATGTTCTGGGTCCTCCTCATCCTGGTATGATGCCAGCACCCCATATGTGGGGCCCTTCCATGATGCTGTTGATGGGTCCTCCTCCTGGGATGATGCCAGTTGGACCTGCTCCTGGAATGAGGCCACCCATGGGAGGTCACATGCCAATGAAGCCTGAGCCCCCAATGATGAGAATACCTGCTGGTCCCATGTTGGTACCCACTCATCCTAGAATGACTTGACCAGACAGATAAGGGTAGAGGGGAGTTTTCTTTATGTCAGTTTCATATTACTTGTTCTGTTTCACCAGGAGATCATGGTGCTGTGACTCTGGGTGTTTTCTTAATAGCATGGTAAGGAAGACTTGCTCTTCCTTCCTCTCAAAGATAGAATAGTTTTGAAAGGAAGAAGTAAACCCCCAAAAGGGGCAGTTATTATTTGTATTGTGGAATGTGAAAATAAAACTGTTAAGTATTTTAGTTAAAAAATAAAATACAATCAAAACTCACTTTAATGTGGAAGGCACTGGAAGTGAGGCAGTGCAAGTAGTGAAACCTGCTGGGTGCTGTAGGCTGGTGTGCTGATGGGATGGCAGAAGAGGAAGAACCTGCTTTTGAAGAAGAAAATGAAGAAATTAGAGGAGCTGCAGAAGGTGGACAGGGTAAAAGACAAAGACTTTTTTCTGAAGAATTGAGATGTATGATGTGTGGCGTCAGAGATGAAAAGAATCCTTATACTAAGTCAGTACTGTTTCTCTAGAGAGAGCTTCTTGAAGATTATCTCCTCTGTAATATCTACTGTGATAGAGTTCATTACTGAAATGACTCACAAGGCCAGGTCTATTGGCAGACAAGGTTGAGTACAAGTTGAAGATACCATCTTCTTGATTCAAAAGGACCCCGGGAAGTTGGCTAGGGTTAAAGACTTGTTTATTGCTATGAATGAAGAATTGAAATGGGCAAGAAAAACATTTGATAAAGCAAACTGTGGATGTTGACATCTTTTGTAATTTCCGAAACTTCATTATGTTCTAGGGAAACTGTATGTAAGAATTGTTATGTTTTCTACAGTAAGGTCCTGATGTCTACCTATGTAAATGAAAAGTAGACAAACCAAGTTTTCTGCCTTTATTTTCATGGCTGTGATTTTTATAGTGATATTAGATTAATTGCCTGCCTTTGTATGACCATACTTGAATTACTTATTGATTTTTAATGACCACAGATAAGTTAAAACACCTTTCAAATCATGCAGTTCTTTCTGACTGTTAGCCAGGGATTAAATATTAATAGTGTTTGTGTGTTAGGCATATTTGTGCCAACGTAAACTGTGCTGTGGCTGTTTAACATATAAACCTAAATGGTCTTTGAAAGCTGAAATATGTGTTTTATGTATTCTGAAGTTTTTATGGGAAAGTCGTCTGAGATTATTGTAGTGAACATTTTTTATATTTAATTTAAAGCGATGATATAGGAAAAGATCGTTTTTTTGGATATAGATGTTTATCTGTTTTAAATGCTGATTTTTTTATTTTTTTATTTTTTTGCAATTTTTGGCAAGGGCCAGGTTTGAACCCACCACCACTGGTATATGGGGCCAGCGCTCTACTCCTCTGAGCCGCAGGCACCGCCCATGACTGATTTCTTTCAATATTCTTTTTTTCTGATAATAAGAATGATTTTATTTTCTGGGAGGGACAGACTTTCATGTGAATCTTCCACGTTGGAAAGCTTTTTTGATTTAAGACTTTTGGGGGATTATAATATACTTTTTGTTAAGTTTTGGGAGAAGCTTCTAAAAATCAATGTTTTCAGTAGCAAGAATGACATTGCCAAAAATGGAATGGCATTGATGGCAAGATAAACATTTAGAGTAATGTTTTATTTGCATATTTGTAAGTACTTATTCATTGTGGAAACATATACTTGATGAAAACTGTGTGTCTGTAGAAGCCCTCTTTTTTTTAGTCTTCTCCTACAATGTTTATTATTACCTTCTTATATTTTTATGTTGCATTCAGCATAAATCAAAATGAAATAATGATCTGTTTAATTGGCTCAGAAAAGAGCCATGTGAAAAGAAAAACATTGGGTAGAATTTTACCAGTAAGAATTAGCATTTAGAGGGATGGATTTGAGTTACAGTCCCATGGAAACCCTTTTGTAATTCAGGACATATGGGTTTTGTATGTATGTACCTTATCAAATTATTATTGTATTTATGTTGAAATAAGGATTAAAATTGCATTAAAATAGATCCCTGAATATTCCTCTTTGTGAAAATTGACTTTCTGTGTGCCACTTAAAAATGTTACCTATAATTCAGTATTTGGGAAAATTTTTTGTTCTTGACCTTTTCATATTAAAGAATACAGTGTAGAATATCGAACAAAAAAATCTCTGACATTAATATAAACTTAAATACTGCAAAAAAAATCTCAGTCAACAAACTTTTCCCCTTTCGTTTCTTCTATATTTGTACTTGTTCTACTTACATTAATTTTAATACTATGGCTAAAACATGAAATTTGCCATCAAAACCCCCTTTAAATGTATAGTTTAGTAATTTCTCTCCTTGATAAAATCAGTTAGTAGTTTGTTTAATTGACTTAATCAAATCAGGATTTTGATTTGTTTACAGATTGTTTTGAAGTCTGTGACTGGCTAGGAACAGTGACTCACACCTGTAATCCTCCCACTCTGGGAGGCCAAGACAGGTGGATTGCTTGATCTCTGGAGTTTGAGAGTAGCCTGAGCAAGAGCCAGACCCCATCTCTACTGAAGGTAGCAACAGGCTCACATCTGCAGTTTTGGGATTCTGTAATGTGGGCTAATCTTACTGGGGTTAGGTGATATCTCAAAGTGGTTTTGATTTGTATTTCTCTGATGATTAAAGATGATGAGCATTTTCTCATGTGTTTG